AGGAATGTAAATTAGTTCAACTACTGTGGAAAGCAGTTTGGAGATTTCTAAAAAAGAACTGAGAGCTGAACTACCATTTGACTCAGCAATCCCACCATTTGGAATATATCCAAAGGAAAAGAAGTCATTCTATCAAAAAGATACATGTACCTACATGTGCACTGCAGTAGTATTCACAATAGCAAAGACATGGAATCAAGCAGATCCCCATCAACAGTGGATTGGATAAAGAAAATGTGTTACCTATACACTGTGGAATACTATGCAGCCATAAAAAGAATGAAATCATGTCCTTTGCAGCAACATAAATGGAGCTGGAGGCCATTATCCTAAGTAAACACAGAAACAATAAACCAATACCACATGTTCTCATTCATAAGTGGGAGCTAAACACTGGGTATATGGTCATAAAAATGAGAATAGTAGACACTGGGAATGTAAGAGGAAGGAGGAGGATAAGAGGTGAGTAAAAACTACCTGTTGGGTACTGTGCTTACCACCTGGGAGACAGATTATTCACTCATACTCCAAACCTCAACACCATGCAATGTATCTAGGTAACAGGCCAGCATCATTCTGATACCAAAACCTGGCAGAGATACAACCAAAAGTCATGTACTCCCTGATTCTAAAATAAAAGTTGGGGAGAAAAAAAGAGCCAGTTAAATGAAAAAACAAACAAAAAGTCCAAATACAGTCTGCCAATCAAAAGATGAATAAAAACAAAAATTTAGCAATTAAAAAAACCTGGTAGTAATTTAGGTAGTAAATCAACTTAAAGACTCAACAACTATGGAAATTATGGATACAGAAAAGAATGTGTTATAAACCTTAATGAGGTAAAGCACTGTGATTAGTTAAAATTAGTAGGTATGTGAAGGGAAGAGTAGGAAGCAAGTATGAGTCCATGGGAATTTCCTTATTGACATGGCATCATATATATCATAAAAATGGAAATGTATAATAATTATAAACATATATACATAACTACAGTGGGAGCTAAACATTGGGTACACATGGACATAATGATGGGAACAACAGACATGAATGAATAAAGAGGGGAATGAGGAAGGATGACAAAGGTATATGCAAATTTTCAACTGTAAGGAGGCTGGCACCCCTATCCCTTGTATTGTTCAATGGTCAATTGTAATACACCATGCTTAAGTATGATTTATCCTAGAAATGCAAGGATGATTCAACATATGTCAATAAATAAATGTGACACATCACATCAACAGAATGAAGAACAAAAACCATATGATCATCTCAATCAATGCAGAAAAAGCACTGGACAAAATTCAACATCTCTTCATAATACAAATCTTAATAAATTAGGCAGAGAAAGAACACACCTTAACATAACAAAGGCCATATATAAGAAACTCACAGCTAACATCATTTCGGTAGAACGGGGAAAAAGCTGAAAGCCTTTTCTCTATGAACTTGAACAAGACAATGATGCCCACTTTTGCCACTGTTATTCAATATAGTATTGGAAATCCTAGCCAGAGCAATAAGGCAAGAGACAGAAATAAAAGGCATCCAAATTGGAAAAGAAGAAATCAGACTGTTCTTATTTGAAAATGACATCCTCTCATATATATGAAAACCTAAAGACTCCACCAAGAAACTGTTAGAACTGATAAATGAATTAAGTGAAGTTGCTGGATTCAAAAATCAACATTTGACAATCAGTAGCATTCTATATACCAAAAAAAACTGTCTGAAAAAGAAGTCAAGAAAGCAATCTCATTTGCAAGTGCTACAAAAATAAAACATAATAACTAGGAATACATTTAACTAAGGAGTTGAAAGACCTCTAGAAGGAAAACTACAAAACTCTGATGAAAGAAACAATACACACAAATAAAAAGACATCCCATGCTCATGGATCAGAAGAATAAAATTAAAATGACAATACTACCCAAAGCAATGTGTAGATTCAATGCAATCCCTATCAAAATACCAATAACATTTTTCATAGAAATAGAAAAAAAAATCTTAAAATTCGTATGGAACTACAAAGGATCCCAAATAGCCAAAACAATCCTGAATAAAAAAAGATAAATCTATAGGCATCATACTACCTGATATCAAAATATATTACAAAGCTGTAATAACCAAAACAGCATAGTACTGTGTGTATAGACATATGGACCAATGGTATAGAACAGAGAATCCAGAAATAAATCCACATATTTATAGCTGATTTTTCACAAAGGTGCCAATAGTATACATCAGGGAAAAGACACCCTCTTCAATAAATGGTGTTGGGTAAACTGGATATCCATATGCCAAAGAATGAAATTAGACTCCTATCTCTCACAATATATAAAACCAACTCAGCATAGATTAAATGCTGAAATGTAAAGCCCACACACATAAAACTATTGGAAGAAAATAGAGGGGAAATTCTTTAGGACACTGGTCTAGGCAAAGATTTTACAGCTAACACTTCAAAATCACAGGTATTGAAAACAAAAATCAAATAGAAAAAAAAAAAACAAAATAGACAAATAGTACTATGTTAAACTATAAAGCTTCTGCACAGCAAGGAAATGATCCAAAGAGTGAAGAGACAACACATTTGATGAGAGAGAACATTTGCAAACTAGTCATCTGACAAGGAACTAATATTTAGAATATATAAGGAACTCAACTCAATAGCAAAAGAACCAAATAATCCAATTAAAAAGTGAGCAAAGGATATGAACAAACATTTCTCAAAAGAAGATCAACATATGTCTAACCATACACGTGGCTAACAGATACATGAAAAAAATGTTCCAACATCATTAACCATCAGGAAAACGTAAACTAAAATCACCATGAAACACCACGTCACACTTCCTAGAACAGATATGACAGAAAAGATCAGAAATACGTCTTGCTGAAGATGTGGAGAAAAGGAAAGCCTTGTACATGGTTGGGGAGAATGTAAATTAGTACAGCCATTTTGGAAAACAGTATGGGGGTTCCTGAAGAAACTAAAAGTAGAGCTACAATATAATTCAGCAATCCCACTACTGGGTGTTTATCTCAAGGAAATATACTATCAAAGGGGCACTTGCACTGTAGTTCTAATTCACAACAGTCAAAATCTGGAACCAACCTAAGTGTCAATCAATGAATGCATGCATAAAGAAAATGTAGGAAGTATACATAATAGAATAGTATTTGGCCATAAAAACGGATGAAATCCTAACACAGCAACAAGGATGGAAGGAGAGGTCATATGTTATGTAAAGTAAGCCACGTACAGAAAGACAAATATTTCATGTTCTCACTTATATGTAGGGAGCTAAAAAAGTTGATCTCCTGGAGGAACAGAGTAGAATGATGACCAGAAACTCGTAAGGACGGGTGGGGGGATGAGGAGAGATTTGTCAGTGGGTACAAGCGTACAGCTGGATAGACTTTTAGTGTTCTCATGTTCAACAAAACAGTAGGGTGACACAGTAAACAATAATTTACTGCATATTTCAAAACAGCTAAAGGACTGGAAATTTCCCAGCACAAAGAAATGACAAATGTCTGAGGTGACAGACAATCCTACATAACCTGATTTGACTATTTATTACACATTGTATGCATCTATCAAAATATCACATGAATCCATGAATATGTATAATTATTATGGATCAATTGAGAACATTCTTTAGTTTTACATAAGCTTCCTATGGGAAGCTGAGTACTATACATATATTTTTTGAGTACTATATTTTTAAAAGCAAGCATTATTTGATGCAATTTTACTAAAATTATATCAACCTAGGCAGACAGAAAATATCTAGAGTCATGTGCAACAAACGATGATGACAGTTACTTCTGGGTGAGGGATAAATACATTTTAATTTAAAAACCCATTCTTCTGCATTCCTTTCTGTGTTTCATGATTTTTAAAATGATGAATATGTATCATTCCACAGTTTCTTATAATAAAGAAAAACAATCCCAATATGTAAATGTGCTTGTTACATAGAATTTACATTCTAAAGAGTTTTTGTAATTTATGGCCTTGAAAACTTCTAGACAAAAACTTAAAGGAGAAATTTACTTATCTCAGAAGAACAGAAAACAAGCCACGATTTGTTGTTTTCATTGTAACATGTATGGCTAAATATGGATATAGAGTTAATCTGTTTCCCATTTCAAAAACCCAGGCATTGGAAAGAAGCCAGAGAGTGTCAAGTTAGAGGCCTGAGCCCTGGAAGGGCAGGCGAAGAGTTAAGCCATATCATGATACAACTTGACTTCTTAAAACTACTGCAGAATTTAACTATCAAATCTCTCCTCACGCCCTTAGTTTCTGCTTCACTGCCGTAACTCGCACCTGCACCTGCTGCTCAACGATACCTCCTGTTTTGTTTTCTTCTTTTGTGCTGCCTGGGATCTGTGACAGCAATGGTTCCAACGTTGGCCGTATACTGGAATCATGAAGGGAGCTTTAAAACATAGCAGTGACTGGGTCCCGTCGCCAGAGACTTTAATTAATTGATCTGGGGTGCAGCTTGAGTACTGGAATTGTTTAAAGCTCCCCAGGTGACTCTCATGTGCAACCGAGGTTGAGAATTACTATACCGTAGCCTTCTTTAACCTTTTTTCAGCTTTCTCTGTAGCCCTTGAGGACTTTCCTCCAGTTCTTCATGCTCACTTTCACCACAGGGAATAGAGACAATGATAAATGATGACCTATCTCTGGTACCAGTACATGGAATACACAAAATCTCAGTCCAGAGAGAACAGGCACATCTACCGTTCATGCACCTTAAGCTTTACAGCACAGCCAAACCATGAATAGAAAGCCTTTGGGGAGAACAAAGAAGCCAGGCATTCTTCATAATAACTCCGGGAGTCTTCTACTCCTGGGAACACTAAGAAGTGATTAAAATCCACTTGAATTAAACCCAGGTGGCTGACAGGGCAATGGAAATAGAATCGACTCCTAGTTTCAGAGAAGTACAGGCTTCTAAATGCCTAAACAGCCATTCTCCTACCTCACGTTGCTGCTGGTTCAAATTATGGGAATTTCTCTGGCAAAGGGCAATGGTCTCTACCATAGTATCTTCAACATCCTTCAAGGAGGAATCCTCTTTGGTATCTAGATTTAGAAAAAGTGTAAAAATCATTTAAGGATATACTGCTGATAACCTCAGAGCTTCTGTGAAAAGTTACTATTTTTTTCTTTGCCACTCCTTCATTTTCTAGCATATAATAATTCAAAAAAAAACCTGACACTAATGTTTTGTAGATTAACAAACAGATTATTCTGTGAAATAAGAGTTCCCCAGAGAAATGTTTTCTATTCTTAGGACAGATAAAGCACATCACACTTAGCATTTCAATACGCTATGGAAATATAGAAAGTCCCCAGTCATCTAAGGCTTAGTTAATAGAGAGATTATCGCTCACCTTTCCTGGTCCACTATCTCTTCTGCCTATTTCTTAAACATAGATATTCCCCCAAGACACTAGTTTAGGTCTCTCTTCATTTTCTCAATGATTTCAGCCATTCTTGTTTCAACTCTCATATCTTTGTTAATGACTTTCAAATACACATCTCCGATCATTCTTCCATTCAAAATCTACAGGTTGAATTTTCTAATGAAGCTAAGACGTCCACATGGATGTCCTGCAAGCACTTGAAACTTCATATGTGCAACTTACTTTTCTCATTTCAAATCTGCTCCTCCTCCTCCATTTACAAACCAAGTTAATGGGACCGTCATCTAAGTCAACCAGTTTATAAACCTTCATCTTCGGCGCTTCCCTCTCTATCACCCACATTCAGATAACTTGCTCAGTTTTGCTGATTCTACTTCCATGCTTGCATACGACCACAGCTTTTACCCTGTGGACCTTTGCATCACCTCTTCCGTGCTACTGCAACAGTCGCTTAGTTGAACTTGTGACGTCCAAATCTTGCATCCCTCGTTCTCTTTTACACTGTCACTAGGGCTCTCTCAAGCACAAGTTCAAACAGATCACTCCCTTCCATAAAAACCGTCAGAGTCCTAATTCTGAAAAACAGAACATAAGTAAGCATCTGACACTTAGCAAACAGAGTAAAGACTTGGGCTCATCTCGCCCTCTGTGCTCTGGTGTCACCCGGTTATTTCTCACTCCCTGAGGTTACTAGCCAGGCACTTCCATGTTCACGTTTTCCTCAGCCTGGAAGGTCCTTCTGCTTCTATCAAACTCCTATTTACCCTTCCAGTCTTTCTTCAAAGGCTGTCCCCAAAACTCACTGATTTATAGGTTACAAAGAGTTCCTCAATTTTCCACACAGCTTTGACATTCTCAATGTACCTTTTACAACAGACACACCATCCTGCTGACACTCCAACGTTTTACTGATGTATCTGTCTCCTTTGGGAGACTAAAATTGTTTGTGTAGGGGAAGCTGTGTTTTAGTAGTCTGTGTATACAGCCCATAGGAACTAAGCACAATGTCTCACAATTGGCAAATTCTCCCAAATACTTAAGCACACTATCAAAATTGAATATCAAAGTAGATGTGCCCAGGTGCAGTGGCTCACACCTGTAATCCCAGCACTTTGGGAAGCCAAGGTGGGAGAACCACCCTGAGGTCAGGAGTTCAAGACCAGGCTGGCCAACATGGTGAAACCCCATCTCTATCAAAAATACAAAAATTAGCTGGGTGTGGTGGCAGGTGCCTGTAATCCCAGCTACTCAGGAGGCTGAGGCAGGAAGAATTACTTGAACCTGGGAGGTGGAGGTTGCAGTGGGCTGAGATGGCACTACTGCACTCTAACCTGGGCAAAGAGTGAGACTGTCTCAAAAAAAATAAATAAATAAAGTAGATGGCGGGCATGAGACTATTTCTGGAAAATTTATTTTCACTGGACTTCAAAACACTGGCCTCTGCAGACATACCACCTGCAAATGACTGTAGTGATTTTGAGGAAATACTCTTCATTTTTCCTCAATCTTTCATGTATTATCTTGAAAAGGTATTCTTGGATGGGCGTGGTGGTTCATGCCTGTAATACCAGCACTTTGGGAGGCCAAGGTAGGTAGATCACCTGAGGTCAGGAGTTCGAGACCACCCTAGCCAACATAATGAAACCCCATCTTTACTAAAAATACAAAGATTAGCTGGGTGTGCTGGTGGGCACCTGTAGTCCCAAATACTCGGGAGGCTGAGATGGGAAGATCACTTGAACCCAGGAGGCAGAGGTTGCAGTGAGCTGAGATCACACCACTATATGCCAGCCTGGGAGACAAAGAAAGACTCCATCTCAAAAAGAAAAAAAAAATAGAAAACTTATTCTCATAACTCTAAATTTTTTAAAATGCCATAAAATGCAACAAATATAACTAAATTGACTAAATACATACTGATAGCACAAAAATAGTAATTAAGGGTCCAGCTGAACTATCAATACAAAAAAGTCAATCAGTGTTTACTGGTGTTCCAAAAAGATTTACTATCATACCTGATGATCATAAAACAGCCCAGACCCTATCACCCAGGACCTCCCTACAGAAATACAGGTAACTAATACCTGATGATCGTACAACAGCACAGACCCTGTCACCTAGGACCTCCCTACAGAAATACAGGTAACTAATACCTGATGATCATACAACAGCACAGACCCTGTCACCTAGGACCTCCCTACAGAAATACAGGTAACTAATACCTGATGATCATACAACAGCACAGACCCTGTCACCCAGGACCTCCCTACAGAAATACAGGTAACTAATACCTGATGATGATCATACAACAGCACAGATCCTGTCACCCAGGACCTCCCTACAGAAATACAGGTAACTAATACCTGATGATCATACAACAGCACAGACCCTGTCACCTAGGACCTCCCTACAGAAATACAGGTAACTAATACCTGATGATGATCATACAACAGCACAGACCCTATCACCCAGGACCTCCCTACAGAAATACAGGTAACTAATACCTGATGATGATCATACAACAGCACAGATCCTGTCACCCAGGACCTCCCTACAGAAATACAGGTAACTAATACCTGATGATCATACAACAGCACAGACCCTGTCACCCAGGACCTCCCTACAGAAATACAGGTAACTAATACCTGATGATCATACAATAGCACAGACCCTATCACCCAGGACCTCACTACAGAAATACAGGTAACTAATACCTGATGATCATACAACAGCACAGACCCTATCACCCAGGACCTCCCTACAGAAATACAGGTAACTAATACCTGATGATGATCATACAACAGCACAGATCCTGTCACCCAGGACCTCACTACAGAAATACAGGTAACTAATACCTGATTATCATACGACAGCACAGATCCTGTCACCCAGGACCTCCCTACAGAAATACAGGTAACTAATACCTGATGATCGTACAACAGCACAGACCCTGTCACCCAGGACCTTCCTACAGAAATACAGGTAACTAATACCTGATGATCATACAACAGCCCAGACCCTGTAACCCAGGACCTCACTACAGAAATACAGGTAACTAATACCTGATGATCATACAACAGCACAGACCCTGTCACCCAGGAGCTCACTACAGAAATACAGGTAACTAATACCTGATGATCATACAACAGCACAGACCCTGTCACCTAGGACCTCACTACAGAAATACAGGTAACTAATACCTGATGATCGTACAACAGCACAGACCCTGTCACCCAGGACCTCCCTACAGAAATACAGGTAACTAATACCTGATGATGATCATACAACAGTACAGACCCTGTCACCCAGGACCTCCTTACAGAAATACAGGTAACTAATACCTGATGATCATACAACAGCACAGATCCTGTCACCCAGGACCTCCCTACAGAAATACAGGTAACTAATACCTGATGATTATCATACAACAGCACAGACCCTGTCACCTAGGACCTCACTACAGAAATACAGGTAACTAATCTACAGAGAATCAGGAAAGTGCTGTATTAGGGAAATGTGTGGACCAAGGGATCTCTAAGAAACGTGTGTTAAAGAGGATCATCTAAAAATCACCCTCCAAGAGGTTCCCTGATCTTCAGGAGGGCTATTTTTAAAATATCAAAGAATATGAAAACAACCAACCTAATTTAAAAAAGGGGTACAGGACTAGAATAGACATTTCTCCAAATAAATGGCCAAAATACTCATGAAAATCAACATCACTAATCATTAGAGAAATGCAAATCAAACCCATAATTAGATACCTCACACACATATGAATAGCTACTATTAAAAAAACCCAGAATATAAATGTTGGAAAGAATGTGGAGAAATTGAAACCCTTGTGTACTGTTGGTGGGAATGTAAAATGAAGCAGCAGCTAGGGAAAACAGTATGGCCATTCCTCAAAAAATGAACAGAATTAATGCCTGATCCAGCAATCTCACTTCTGATTATACACCCCGAAAGAACTGAAAGCCAGGTCTTGAAGAGATACTGTACATTCATGTTGATAGTGGTATTAGTCACAATAGCCAAAAAGTGGAAGTGTCCCAGATGTCCACTGAAGGATGAATGAATGGCCTATACATGCAATGGAATCTTATTCAGCCTTCAAAAGGAAGAAAATTCTGACACAAGCTACAACATTTATGAACCTTATGTAAGTTAAATGAGCAAATCTCATGAGGACAAACACTGTATAATTTCATTCATATGAGATAGTCGAGTAATCAATTTTGAAAAAGCATGGTGGAAATACAAAATAAAATGGTGTTTACCAGGGGCTGGGAGGAGAGGGCAACGGGAGCTGCTGCTTAACAGGTACAGATGTTTAGTTTGGGGAGATGAAAAAATGTGGAGGTGGATGGGGATAATGACTATAATAGTGTGAATATACTTGATGCTACTGAACTGCGAGTTCAGCACTGTGCAAATAAACACTTAAAAATAGTTAAAATGCTACATTTTATGTTAGGGTATATTTTATCACAATTTTTAAACAAATTTTTTTGAGATATTCAAGGAATATGATGAAAATTTTATGTTTGCTGAGGACAAAGCCACTCAAGATACTAAATTATCAACTTTCACTTTTCTTGGTTAAAACTGTGTAAATTCAGTTTGGAAACACTGGCTATGTTCAACATTCTACTAATCAGAAGGTCTGATTTGCTGTTGTTTGGCATATTGATTTTTAGGATGTGAGTTATATACCTCATTTAAACATAACTGAACCAAACTTTTGTTATAACAAAAGTATAAACAGAAAGATAACCAGCCTGGTGTGGTGGCTTATGCCTGTAATCCCAGCACCTTGAGAGGCCGAGGTGTGCAGATCACTTGAGCCCAAGAGTTTGAGACCAGCCTGGGTGACACGGTGAACATGTCATGGGTGAACATGGTCACCCATCTCTACAAAAAATACAAAAAACTAGCCAATGTGGTGGTATGCATCTGTAGTCCCAGCTACTTGGGAGGGTCAGGCAGAAGGACTGCTTGAGCCTGGAAGGCGGAGGCTGTGGTGAGCCAAGATTGCACCACTGCGCTCCATCCTGGGCAACAGAGTGAGAGCCTGCCGCAAAAAAAAAAAAAAAAAAAAAAGATAACCAACAAACAGTGCCTAATTTTCCATACATTTGAGTCCACTGAAAATCAGCATCACAAAGTCACAATGGTTTCTATGATTTCTTGTTCTGAACTCTTGAAAATTAGCTAAAATTGAGATCCATGTTAAAGAGAATAAACAGTAACCATGCATTTATGCAAGTGTAATTATTACATAATAAATGCAGTTTATTAGACATCTTTTAAAACATGGGGTCCATAGATGAAAAAAGTTGTAATTATTTCAAGAACTTACTTTCACCTTGATGTGTTATCTCCTGAAGTTTGCTTTGTAGTCTCTAGGAGATAAAAAGAACATAGGAGTTAAAAAGGAACACTTTACATTTCCACCCACCAAATACTTAAATAACATATTTTAAAGGTAAACCCCTCAAAACTACAAGGTTATTAAGAACAGTCCTTTATTGTCAGTGAGAAGTAAATTCTTGTGTTTATAGAAAGTATAGCCAGCAGGATGAGAAGGGACCCAAAGATCCAGCAGCAGCCGTTTTGCCCACCTCGGCTTCTCTTATCCCAGCACAGTCATCACTTACATTCTTTGGGCTCAGTAATGAGGATCAGGATTTATCTATGCTTTGGATGAGGGATTACAACTCATACTGGGTGATACAGTTTGGATATGTGACTCCTCCAAATCTCATGCTGAAATGTGATTCCCAGTGTTGGAGAGTGGGGCTTGTGGAAGGCATCTGGGTCATGGGAGTGGATCCCTCACAAATGGCCTGGTGTAGCCCCCTGTGGCTACGAGCGGCTTCTCCCTCTATTAGTTCACATGAGAGCTGGATGTTTAAAGAGCGTGGCACCCCTCCCCACACCCCACTCTTGCTCTCTCTCTTGCCATGTGACACGAGCTCTCCTTTACTCTCACTTCCTGAGGTCCTCACCAGAAGCAGATGCTGGCGTCATACTTCTAACACAGTCTGCAGAACTGTGAGCCAAATAAACCTCTTTTCCTTATAAATTACCCAGCCTCAAGTATTCCTTTATAGCAACACAAAAGAGACTAATATACTGGGTCATGAGTAAAAGGGGTGTAATATACTGGGCTGTGAGTAAAAAGCTTATAAGCTAAATTCATCAACTACCCCCTCTCAGTTACCTCATACCATATGCAAATGATCAGTCACTTCTCAAATCTGCCCCTCTGCTCTCCACTGCCACTGACACACCCAGCTCAAGCCCTCATTGACTCATACCTGTCCCACTGCAAAGGCCTTCTAAGTACTGCCTGCTTTGTTTTACCTCCCTCGTCTTGTCTCCTGCCTCCCATCCCCCACAGTCACCAGAGCAGTCTTTATGAAACAAACAACATCAAATCAGTTTCTTGCTTAAAAACCTTTATATGAGCCCATGTGACAAGAAGATTAGCCACAGTTCTTTGGTGTGTCCAACAAAATCTGCCCAAATCTGGATCTAGTCATTGTTTCTTCCCTGACCTGCCTATATATGACACAGCGGAGGCCTAGAGAAGCTGCTGGCACTCCCTTAGTAATCCACACTTCTTTGTTTTGTATTCCTAAGCCTTTACAAATGATGGCCTCATTCCTGACAAAGATCCCCTGCTTCTCCTCTCATCTGTGTCAGAAATACTCTTACTTATTCCCTAAAACTATAGGTTCATGGTATTGTCGACAAATACATTGCAAGAAAACAAGAGGTATGGGGTAATTTACATATTAAAAGAGATTAAGAGCCTACACAAAGCCTCTGTGGATTATCTTCCTGGCTTATTTTAGAATCATATGGCTAGAAGGAAACTAGAAGCCAATACGGAACATTTTAAAATAGAAATATGATATCCCTAATCCATTCCTAGCCAGATGACAATATTAAAAAAAAAAAAAACCTGCTACGTCACTTTGCTTCACCCTTCAGGACAACTACTACCAAGAAAACAGAAAATAAGTGTTAGCAAGAATGGGGAGAAACTGGAACCTGTGAGCATGGCTAGCGGGGATGTGAAATGACACAGCTGATGTGGAAAACAGCATGGCAATTCCTCAAAAAAAAAAAAAAAAATAGAATTGTTATTTGATCCAACAATTCTACTTCCGGGTATATATCCCAAAGAAATAAAAGCAAGAACTCAAAGGTGTTTGTACACTCATGTTCGCAGCAGCACTATTCACAACAACCCAAAGGGAGAAGCAACCCATGTGTCCACTGAAGGAGGAATGGGCAAACACACTGTGGTATATACATAAAAATACTTGCCAACGACTCATCAAATGGTACACTTACCACACGTTTTTTACTGTATAAAGTTTACCTTTTCAAAAAGTACCGTAAAGAAATATGAAACTCTAGTTAATGCTATAAATGATAAAAATATTCAGGTGTAAATGTACTATCTGCAACTTACTTTGAAACATAAGAAATGAAGATGGATTCATGAATGGATAGAGGAATAGACAGAAATCGGATGAAAGAAACATAGTAATATGTTACCTCTAACATTATTAAGAAGGCACCATGAGTATCTCCTTTCTTTTCCAATAGATACGCAGTGACTTCATGAAGCTGATACTTCTGAGTAATCTAGCAAAGAAAAAGGATAAATATTTTTACTCACAAATCTTGTTTGTGGAGTGGGAAGATCCCACTGAGGATGAAAAAACTCATATGATAATAAATAATGAATTTATACATTATTAGGATGATACTTTACAGGATAATATGCAAATAACTGACTTTCTAGTCATACAGTGGCTCATTTGGCGGTTCTACTTGAACCAAATTCACTCATTTTTTTCATTTATTTATTTTTAAAAATTGTTACACACCTGAATTAGGTATATACACTGGAGAAAAGCTAACATATATACATGCATAGTAATAATACAAACTAGAATTTAATCAAGTATAATTATTAAACAATTGAAAATGACAATGAAAACATTACACATCAACTTGTAAAATAATAAAAATGAATAAAGTAAAAATCTCTAATTAGTAAAAAAGAAGTATCAGTTAGGCTATGGAGAAAAAAGGGACAAAGTACAGAAAGGCATACATTTTCCTGAAAGAGAAGAATCAACACTCTGGAGATGTCAATTCTCTCCGAATTAGTCTATAAATTCAATGTATTCGTAATCAAAATTCCAAAGAGTCTGTTTCTCTTAAAGAAACTTGACAATGTGATCTCTAAATTCACGTGAAATAGTGGGAGATGTAGGACACCAAAGTAGCCGAAGCATTTTACAGAAAAAGAGTAAGGAGGGAGGATTCCTTTTGCAAATAATAAATCTATGGAAAAGCTGCGGTATGAGAATAGGGAAAGACAACCAAAGGAAGAGAACAGAACTCATCAACAGACTCATGTATACTTCAGAGTTTAGTATATGGTACTAAGGCATTACAAACCAGCGAGGAAAGGATAATAAATGCCGCATGGAGCATCAGCCATCATGTGGAAGTAAAGACATAAATCCTCCTTTTGATCAGCTTGCAAAAATTAACTCCACATGGATTAAAAGCCTAAATGTAAGAAGTTAAACTATAAAATTTATATAGGAGAATATCCTTTATTCCATTAAAATAGAAAAGACACACACACACACACACACACACACTCTCTATCTCTCTCTCTCTCTCTCTCTCTCTCTCAAGCCTTAAAGACTGGTAAACTAAAACAGAAGTCACTAAAAACCAAGTTAAATGATGTGCCATAAGAAATTGGAAGAAAGTAACTCCAACACATAAAATTAGCAAAGGATTAGATACGAAAATCAGAAAGAACTTCTAGGACTCAGAGAAGGGCAGAAACTCAACAGGAAAATGGGCAAATGATATGAATAAATAATTCAGAGAAAAGAAAATCCCAAGGTTCATCGAACATAAAGGAAAGAGGTTTAATGTATGAGTAATTGCTAATATCCATCATACTGGCAAAAAATCAGGAAGACTGAAAACACTAGGCATCAGCAAGGATGTGAAAAATAGCAAATATCAAACACTGCCGATGGGAACAGAGACAATTAGGAAATCAATTTGGAAGTATCAGCAGAACTACACCACTTTGCTGTCTAAACAATTCCATTTCCAGGTATATTACTTAGAGAAGCCTCGTATGGGCACAAAAGAAGATATGTACAAGGATGTATACTGTCACACTGTTTACATTAGCAAAAGATTGGAAACAATCTAAACGTTTGCCAACAGGGAAATAAATTGGCATATTCATTTGACAGACTAGCATATGATCATTAAATGAATGAAGTAGATCTACATGTATAAACATTTTTTTTTTTTAATTTAGTAAAAGTGGCCGGGTGCAGTAGCTCACAACAGTAATCTCAGAACTTTGGGAGATCACAAGGCTGGCAGATCACTTGAGGTCAGCAGTTCAAGATCAGCCTGGGCAGCATGGTGAAACCCCATCTCTACTAAAAATACAAAAATAAGCACAGTGGCACGCGCCCATAATTTCAGCAACTTGGGAGGCTGAGGCAGGAGAATCACTTGAACCTAGCAGGTGGAGCTTGCAGTGAGCCGAGATCACACCACTGCACTCCAGCCTGGGCAACAGAGAAAGACTCTGTATCAAAAAAAAAAAAAAAAAATTGGTTAAAAAAAGTGATCTATAATAAAATACCTACTGTATATTAATATAAACTTTAAAAACATATACAACTGTATCATGTATTTTATAGATACAGACACATATAGAAAAAATTCAAAACATAGATCAGGAAGATAAATACCAGTCTAGGATGGTGGTGACTTCAGGGGCGGGGGGTGCAAGACAGATAATGGGTGCTTTACTTTTAATATAAACAGGAACAAGAAGATAACGAAGATCTAAGGCCAGTATGGCAAAATGTTAACTGTTAGATTTGGCTGGTGGGTATACACATAATTGCAAGTCAGCACATTTCTGTAGGTTTAAAATATTTCATAATTAAATATTTTTAAAAGTATGTAGGGGCAGTTCAGGAGGTAGATGCAGAAAATACAGGCAACTGTTTCGAGAATGTTGACAGCAAAGGAAGAGAGATACATGACAGCTAAAAAATAAATGTTAAATGGGAACCGTGCTGTTACAGAAAATGGTGTGTGTGTGTGTGTGTGTGTGTGTGTGTGTGTGTATGTGTGTGTGTGTGTATACAGACATTCTCATTTAGCAACAGGAAAATAAGGGAAGAGAATACGGCAATGAGCATGCTAACGCTACTCAACTGCTATTTAGTCTATTAAGTCTTACGACACAACAGGACTATCTAATCATCTGTGTCTGCAAACCAGAGCTTGGTCTCCTTTCAATATTTTTACTATGTTCCTTTTTCTATGCGTATTGAGTTGGTTAGAATTTCTATCATACTTTCTATAAAGCTGACGATACTAAAATAAATGAAGAAGCAGTTTATCACAGCAATTAAGAGCATACACTATGGAGTCAGACTATGGGTTCAATCTCAGGGGCTACCACTTACTAGCTACGAACTTACACAAGTAACTTCATATGTAAGTCTCCCTTGTACTTATCACTTTGACTCATGAATTACCATGACTTTCAGTGAACTGTGATCCTATTCTGATCAAATCTTTTAAACCTTTGACATATTTGACAGGCTTCTCGAAATCAAAGTTCAAATTCTAAAACTGAGTCTTCTTTTTTTTTGAGACAGAGTCCCACTCTGTCTGTCGCCCAGGCTGGAGTGCAGTGGCAAGATCTCGGCTCACTGCAATCTCTGCCTCCGGGTTAATACAAGTCTCCTGCCTCAGCCTCCCGAGTAGCTGGGACTACAGATGTGTGCCATCATGCCAGGCTAATTTTTTTTTTGTATTTTCAGTGAAGATGGGGTTTCACCACGTTGGTCAGGCTAGTCCGGAACTCCTGACCTCAAGTGATCCACCCACCTTGGCCTCTCAAGTGCTGGGATTACAGGTATGAGCCACCATGCCCAGCCAAAACTGAGTCTTTTTAACCTCAGCCTAATATTGGGATGTTGCAGAGGGTGCCTGAAGAAAATAATAAAAAAGAGATAATAAACCAGCTTATTTGATGCACTAAATTATATGGGAAACACTGTCACATAAGAAATGATGCTTAACCTTCTTTGAATTGCATTTGTATATAGTGTTATTAATATGTCTTCCAAAATTCCATGAAATCCCTAGAAATCTGCTATGTCTTGGTATACATTATCAGTCATATTTTGGGTTATTATGTTAAATTGTTGTAGGCCACAGAAAATAACCAAATTTCCTTGACAACTGTGCCTTTAATCACAGTTGTGTTAAGTTACGTTGTCCACAGTTAATTACTTTATTTTGACACTTTTTTTCTGAGATCTCCTGGCAAATTCTAAAGTGTTGCATTTTCAAGGAGGTCAAAAGAGTGCAACAAATACTCTTGAATACAGGCTTTTGACAAGTGTGACACCACATTATCACTGGTTTGGGTAAAAATTTCTCAAACCCCAATGGAAAAAACAAACCTGGCCTCATAATTGCTAATCTGACATTAAGAAAAACAGGAATTAACCACACTGGACTGAAGTAATCGTTATGATGTGTTTGAAACACTGATACTTTTTGTGTGCTGCTTTCCAGAATCAAGAAAACTTTTTTTCTGGGGTGGGGATGGGCAGGGGCTATTCATAGCCTTAAAATAATTTGGTAGAGTATATTTTTTGTGAGCAAAATTAAAACATTTATTTTTTTCTATACCTGATCCTTCCCAAATTTGGAAGCTGAATATTCTATGGCAATATGGTTATTTTCATGAGTTCAGTAAGAATTTGCTCTGTTTGTAGCGGAGAAATTGGGAAACACGGTGATATTACCAAGGCTTTGATTGGGATGTCATTATTTTTAGATATAACCAGATTGCTTCAAGGAACTAAGCTTAACTTTACGGAGGCAATCGAAGTCCTTGGAAAAACTGGCCTGGTATCCTGTCAAGATGGTACCCTTGCAGGGTTCCCAGCCTTGCAGTGAGTCAAGAATGCCACCTTCTGAGAAACCCAGGAACCTCAGAATATTTGGGGGCCTCAAAAAAAGAATATACCCAGGCATTGCAGGTAAAATCTGATGATTGTTTCCCAGCCTGAAGATGAGAGACTTTTAAAGGTCAAGTCTGAGATTTATTCTAAGTTTCGGCAGAGCAGATTTTTAAAAAGCCTAAACGGCCAATCACTACTCTTGCAGTACTTATATAAATAATCAAGCCAGATATAATGACACTAAACTTATTTTACACATCAACTGAACTTATTGTGTTTATTTTTGGTAAAAATGGGAGAACCTTCAGAAGAAAAAACCTACAGTAAACATTATGAGATTCTAACTCATGGTTTGAGATTTTATGATTTACATGCAATTGGACCAAATCCTGAATTTTCAGTTTCCTCCAGTATCTGACCAATTCTCCAAACTAATATTTGAAAATTTTCTCCCACTTTTTGACTTGGAATCACTGAAATTAAAACTGCTTTTCCTGACGCCCTGCACACTAAAAGCTAGACAACTTGATATAAACTTCGGAGAAATCACCACAACTTACTTATGGACAGAAAGTTCACTGGAACACCTCGTTCAAACTGCAATCCCGGAAAATCTGTCAGATTGCCGCTTCTACTTTCACCCCAGCTACAGACACTTTAAACACAAATCTGGAAATATTCTCGGCTGGCTCCCCTCCAGACTGAGACAAGCCTGCAGACTGCTCCAAACAGTCACGTGCGTTTCTCTTTGTTTCTACAGAAATGCCTTGTATTAAATGCCTATTGGCCTACACCTAACTATGATGGAAACGTACTTAAAATAGCACCTCCTAAAATGAGATGCAACTATTTAACTAAATTGAGGTATTTTCACAACCAAGAGACTATTTCCATAAGATATGGGACAATGTACCCAAATTTGTTCCTTTCCACTTGTCTTAATTTATGATTTTTTCCCCTCTGCCAATCTATTATGTCAACCCAAATCTCTCTAGAACTATCCACCTAGCTTTTAATACGTGAAACTTTCTGAAAGCAAAGTTTCAAAAGGAACACTGAACAAAACCAAAATATATCTCCCCAAAATACTGAGGACTGTTGGTCAATGAAAATGCAGGGGAACCCTCTGCCCCTGCCTCTATCTGCCTAATGGCAGGATATACATTCTTCTTTACTGGAGACAGCACCAGCAGGCCCAGGAGGAATCCGGGAACAGATCTGACTATCTTCCCACACATCCTCCTACCTTTTACTAGGCTGGAACTGCTCTCTCCTGTCTTATCACTATGCAAGATATAAGGCTTGGCCAGGCACGGTGGACTTTGAAAGGCAGAGGCGGGTGGATCACAAGATCAGGAGTTCAAGACCAGCCTGGCCAACATGGTGAAACCCTGTCTCTACTAAAAATACAAAAATTAGCTGGGTGTGGTGGCGGGTGCCTGTCATCTCACTACTCAGGAGGCTGAGGCAGAAAATTGCTTGAACCTGGGAGGCGGAGGTTGGAGTGAGCTGAGATCACTCCACTGCAATCCAGCCTGGGCAACAGAGTAAGACTCCATCTCGGGGGAAAAAAAAAAAAGATTTAAGCCTCTTTGTTAAAATACAGTTTAAGCAAAGCCCCTAAGCCACTGCCCTGAGAAAGATACTTTTGAGCTGAGGTTTCTGCCACATGATGGGTATAGCAGATATTTGTTAATCTAACTTTTTTCAGGAGAGTCTCAACTAAGAATTTATAAGGTTTAAAAAAGAAATTATATCTTTTTCCCCATTTACTTTGATCGTCTGTCAAATGGGGAATGTCAGAGCAGAGTTTACTCTCGTCTCTTCTACGTCGTTGGTCTCACCTGAATAGTTTCTTCCAGACGGTAGCACTCAAGCACTCGCAGAGTCTCTATAACTTGGTTTGGGTTGAACTGACACAACAGCTCGATGAACTGCTCTGTGATGCAGGGAGATACGGGCAGCAATTCTTGATTTATATGAACACCTTCCCTAAAAACACAAAAGATAAGAGAATACTCAATGGTAGCATTATTTAATCACATCTATAATTAAAAGCTACCAGTAAAATGCATATTACATTAAAACTAGGACTACCTGCTGGTCAGGTAAAAATATGAATTGAAAATCTCAATGCACAGGTTACAAGCTGGGGCTTACGCTTGGTACCTGAGGCAGGGGCTAGTTTGTGGGACTAAGCCTGTGGGGAGAGAAATAAAAGGAAAATCCTAAACCCTCCAACCAACTTAGCGAAACTGAGATGGAGCGGGGACCTCTCTCAGGGCCCGACACACACCTTCCCCTTCCCTTCAAGCATGAAAATAAAGAAAAATCTTGAATCTCTTCAATGGAAATTCCAGGCATCTAGCTAACCTGTAGAAGTAAATGAGCCTTTGGGAGGCCGAGGCAGGTGGATCACAAGGTCAAGAGATCGAGACCATCCTGGTCAACATGGTGAAACTCCGTCTCTACTAAAAATACAAAAATTAGCTGGGCATGGTGGCACGTGCCTGTAGTCCCAGCTACTCAGGAGGCTGAGGCAGGAGAATTGCCTGAACCCAGGAGGCGGAGGTTGCAGTGAGCCGAGATCACACCATTGCTCTCCAGCCTGGGTAAAAAGAGTGAAACTCCATCTCAAAAAAACAAAAAAAAGAAGTAAATGAGCAACATGATAACAAAGAAACAGCCTGTAACAACAGCCACCCAAGTAGGTCAGAGCCACAAGCTGTTTGCTTCCCGGCAGAAATTAAAGGTCACATCTTAACATATGTCCCTGAGCTGTTTTTCTGAAACCTGCACAACCAGATGGGAAATGCCAACCACTGTCATGCAGAACTCAGACTGGGGGCCCCTGAGGACTGAACTCTGATTGCTGTTGTTTGCTCTACATTGCTTCTTGAAGGGTCTGGAGAGAGTCACACCCACAGGCCAAACCTTAATATTACCTTCTGCCCACCCCAAGTTCTTAAACAAAGCCCTGCTTCCTTAACCAACTGCAATTCAAAAGAACCTCTGAATCCATCTATGCCATAAAAGACCCCCACTTCAAGATACTCCATCTTTTTGGGCCAAATCAATGTATAACCTCCATGTAGTGATTTGCAATTGGGCCTGTAATTTCTGCCTTCCTGAAATGTTGCCCTGCCTTTAAAAACTCTTCCTGGAAGCCATCATGGAGGTCCAGTCTCAAGCATGAGCTGCTGATTCTCCTTGTGTGGTGCCCTGCAAAGAAACGCCTTCCATTCTCTAACTACAAACCTCAATGTGGGTGTTTGGCTTTACTGCACCAAGTGAGTGGATCCAGGTAACAGACCTCATCTTAAAAACTGAGTTCCCAGCCATTACAGGATAGGAGGTCGGACACGCCTCGGTATGCCCCTCATTCACCTTTAACCAGAATTCATTCCTAAGGAGTAAGCAGAAACCAGCTCTGGAAAACACAGGACAGATGACTCACTGTTTCACTGCCGTTAGCCAATTGTGGGTGACCAGCCTCTTCCTCCACCTTTGCTGCCTCAACGTGACAGCTCACCAGTTTCACAACACATCCCTTCCTAAAAACTAACAACCATCTCCAGAACTGTTTTGGCAGGATGGCAGAGGACATGCAGTGAGAGTTTTCGTGTCATCTGCTTCACCTTTTGATGTCAGAGGGCTGAAAACTGCCTCTTTGGACTGTGCTAACACTTCCATGTTTTGAACACTGGGCCCCTGAGAAGGCACGAATCTCTATTGTGCATGTGCAACTTTCTCCTTTCATAAATAGTCATGACTTCTCCTACAGGTAATTGAATATATGTACTTAGGTACCTTACTCAGCATAAACAACTGTTCCCTTTACCCTTCCCTTGAACTGCCTGTTTTCAGTTTCTGCCAGAGGCTATGATTCCCAGACTGTAAGAATGGTCACCTTGTAGGCTGCAACCCTTTATGTGAAATAAAGCTCTCCTTTCAAAATTTATGACCCTTGTATTTCTTCAGTTGACAAGGATCTGACAGTAACTCCAGATAGACAGTGTCAGAAATGAGTGAAATGGTAGCCTACCCAGTTGGTGCCCGCTATACAATTGCTTGAGTGGTTTGTGAGGAAAAATGCCCACACACATTTTGGTCACCAGCGCAGACTGGTTTACCTTATTATCAGAGGGATCGAGGCTGTGTCTCAAGAGATCACTATTATGTAAAAGAAAATGGGGATGCTCGCCACTGTTTCCCTGTACTTTCCAGATGTTTATGCCAAACTGGCTGTATTTCGTTTACATCAGACTTCTGTTAATATGTCTTATAAATGCAAGACTATGGAGCAAGTTAAGACTAGACATAAGCATGAATAACAGTACTTAATTCTTTCCAGAAAAGTTACTGACGCAACCATTTACAAGAACTAAAGCTGTGAATATGCATCAAACCAAGCAAATCACCACATGAACAGATTTTGATGGATTCATTTGTGAGAGAAATAATGTGTCGGATGGGAAACGATCAGGCCATATCAATATATTCAAAACTTTAATAAATAAGCTGTCGCATTAATGAATTTACATCCATTTCTGACTGTTGCTTATCGGTCTTGCATATAAATTTGTTACATCCACTTCCCAAAGCTGTCTCTTAGTCTTCTATTAACTATCTGCTTTGCAATATACCCACTGCTTTCTTTTGTCAGTTTTAGAAGAAAGCATGTGTGTGCCTTGTGAAACACACACACAAACCCTGCCTACCACAGAATTCAGGTTGGAGAATATATCTACTTTTACTCTACAACTCTGTAAACGGAACCATTGCTAGGGAAAAATTAAAACATATAACAGTTTTGAAAAATGTACATAAAAAAAATTTTTTTTGAGACAGCCTCATTCTGTTGCTCTGGTTGGAGTACAGTGGTATGATTTCAATTCACTGCAACCTCCACCTCCTGGGCCCCAGTGATCCTCTCACCTCCGCCTCCTAAGTAGCTGGGACTACAGGTGTATACCACCATGCCTGGCTAATTCTCGATTTTTTGTAGAGACAGGGTCTCACCATGTTGCTCCAGGCTGGTCTCAAACTCATGGGCTCAAGTGATCTACCTGCCTCAGCCTCCCAAAGTGCTGTGATTACATGTGTGAGCCACCATGCCTGGCCCACATTACCACTATTCTAAAATTCAAATTCTGTAAATCAGTTCAACCATTGTGGATGACAGTGTGGTGATTCCTCAATGAGCTAGAACCAGAAATACCATATGACCCAGCAATCCCATTACTGGGTATGTACCCAAAGGGATATAAATCATTCTACTCCAAAGACATATGCCCATGTATGTTTATTTCAGCACCATTTACAATAGCAATGACTTGGAAGCAACCCAAATGCCCATCAATGATAGACTGGATAAAGAAAATGTGGTAACATATACAGCATGGAATACTATGCAGCCATAAAAAGGAATGAGATAATGTCCTTCGGAGGGACATGGATGAAGCTGGAAGTCATCATGCTCAACAAACTGACACAGGAACAGAAAACCAAACACTGCATGTTCTCACTCATGAGAGCACTGAACAATGAAAACACATAGACACAGGGAAGGGAACAACACACACCAAGGCCTGTTGAGGGTTTACGGGTGAGGGGAGGGCCCGCCACGGCACACGTATACTTATGTAACAAACCTGCACATTCTACACATGTGCTCAGACTGAATATTATGGGGATCCCAGAACTTAAAGTAAAATAAAAATTAAATAAAATTCAAATTCTGACTTCCTAATATTTGACAAAGAAATTAACATTGTGTTGGAATTTTTTAAAGGCTAGTCTATTCCTGCCCCCTCACTCTAAAATGTGTATCTAAATAGGCCAGTCCAGATTAATCTTCCCTTTCTCTAAGGAAGAGGATTTCACAATCTCCTTCAGTATCTTGTTTTTATAATTTGGGTCCACTTCAGCTTATCCTAAATCCTGTCTGCTTACATTCTCTGCTCAATCCCATATATCCAGTCCTTAGATGTGGTGTCCCCCTTTTGATTATCCAGCACCTTTTAGACTGAGAACTCAAATATATCACTCACAACAAGCTACAGTGAAAAAAACAAAAAACTGCTGGGTATGGTCACTCACGCCTGTACAATCCCAGCACTTTGGGAGGCTGAAGTGGGCAGATCACTTGAGGCCAGGAGTTTGAGACCAGCCTGGCCAACATGGTAAAACCCCATCTCTACTAAAAACACAAAACATTAGCCAGGCATGGTAGCGCACACCTGTAATCCCAGTTACTTGGGAGACAAAGGCAGGAGAATTACTTGAATCCGGGAGGCGGAGGTTGCAGTGAGCTATAATCACACCACTGCACTCCAGCTTGGGCAACAGAGAGAGATACTGAGAGACCGTCTCAATTAAACAACAACAACAACAAAACATTATATTCTCTCTAGTTTTCACTCAAATCACAAGGCCTTTAAGCTGAACTTTCAGCTTTCCACGCACGTTCTGTGTTAAAAATGCCAAATGTAATCCTGTGCCAACTAAACACCAATCTGCCTGAAAAATATGTTACATGTGATTATTACAGGCAGCAAGACAATACCTAGAAAATCTGTATGAAATTGTAACATATAATCACAGTGGTGTCTACAAATGTGACAAGCATTGACCGGGACAGAAAGTTTCCTGCAGTGAGAAGGAATCCAGTGCATCCCTGTCTCTTTGCTCCCCATCATGATGCCACGATCCACAGAACTAACAGTATTTCCACTTCTAGGAACAGCCACAATTCCTCATAAACTTCTGTGAGGCACAGAACAAAGCAGCGAGCTCACTATTTGCCTGACAGCCACGATTCTGACACATCAAACTGATGTAACAGCAGATCTAAGACAGGATCTGCTTCAGGGGATTTGGTCACTTTTCCACTTTCCCGGTTTGACTACTAATCAAATGCCAAAATGTAATCTTTCAAATCTTTTTTATCTTTTTTTTTTAAAAGACAGAATCTCACTCTGTTGGCTAGG